AATCCGGGGTCTACACTTCACTACACCTCAATCAAAGCAAAGCCTAACCCCCACTGGACCCCCGCCAAAGGGAACTCTTACAGCAAGCCCTAAAGCAAAGAAAAGGGTGAACCCGGCAAGCCGAAGCACAAGCCCTAAAACCCTAAACCCTAAACCCCAAGCCCTAAACCCTTAGGGTAAGCAACCTTCAACTTAATTTAAGGGTGCTTTTTTTCCTTCTGCCGGCCCAAAGGTCGACCAAAAGCCCCCATGCAGAAGACTGGACAATTTCAGTGGCACTCGACCCTATAAACCCTGAACACAACAAACAATAAAAACCCTAAGCCCTAAAACCCCTAAACCCTTGAACACAAAACCCCTCAACTTTGTGGTTTTAGGGTTTAGGGGTTCGACGTTTAGGGTTTTAGGATATACGGAATAGGGTCTTGCATTTGGGTTTGTCTAGCCATAGCATGGCAAGGCTTATCCCCATCCTCTGACGGATCCCATGATATGCAAACTTCTGGGACAAAAACCCTATTGAAAGGATACTTCTGGGAGAAAAACCCTAAACCCGAAACCCTATTGAAAGGATCCTTCTGGCATGGGAATGGTTACATTGAAGGCATAGCAGTTCAGGGATGATGGGGCTAAGGCTTAAGGGCTTTAGGGCTCAGGGTTTAAGGCCTTACAGTCTATGGTTTAAGGGTTGAAAGGCTTTAGGGCCCGTGGTTTAGGATTTAGGGTCTAGTTAAAGGAAACTACAGGTGGGGAGTTTAGGGTATATAGGGCTTCTATAAGGCTCCTATAACGGTAACTACCCACCTGAAAATGTCCTAGATTAGGGTCTACCGTCTTCTGGGTTCTTTCCGTCAACCTCTCCAAGATCCCCAGTGCCCTCCCAAGGCTGAGGTGCAGTGTGTTAGGTGCTGGCCTACAAACAATAAGATCTAAAACCTAAACGATTCTATATACGGATACGGACCTTGATGATGAGAATCGGGATTTGTGTAGCAGTCTCTATAGTAGAACTATACATAGAGACTAAGTGGAAATATGGTTACTAATTCTTCAAACGGTCTTAAGTTCGCATTCAGAGCTGCGCAGAAGCCGCGAGTCGGTGAATCCCTCAACCCAAGAAACAAAGCCCCAAACCCTACAACCCTAAACCCTAAACCCTAAAATCCTAAAACCCTACAGCCCTAAACCCTAAACCCTCATACCCTAAACCCTAATACCCTAATACCCTAAACCCTAGACCCGAAGACCCTAAAACCCTAAACCCAACCCTCCCGAGCCCCGATAGCAAAGGGCCTGTGATGTGCAGGGCGGGTGTGGTCTGGGTAGGCCGGTGACCGTTCAAAGACGACGTCCCTGGCGGCCCCAGCTTCGTGCAGGATTAGGCTTCAGGGTTTATTGCTTGGGGTTTAGGGTTTAGGGCTTGGGGTTTAGGGTTTAGGGTTTTAGGGTTTTAGGGTTTAGGGTTTAGGGTTTGGGGTTTGGGGTTTAGGGTTTTAGGGCTTGGGGTTTAGGGTTTAGTGTTTAGGGTTTAGGGTTTAGGGTTTAGGATTTGGGGTTTAGGGTTTGGGGTTTTGGGTTTAGGGTTTAGGGTCAACAAACCCTAACGGTCCATGTACCCAAATGATTAGTATATACTTTGGCCTTAAAGTAGTCCCTACAGGTTATAGGGACTTGGGGCCACAGTATATACTATTTGGGCACATGGACCCTTAGGGTTAATGTAGGGGCCTTTGTAATTTCAATAGGGTTTTGGACTCTTTTATAATATAAGTATCATAAGGAACCCGGAGGAATTTGGTAATGACTTAGGCTTGTATATTGGAACCCCAAACCCTAAACCTCTAAACCCTAAATCCTGAACCCCTCAACCCTAAGGAATCATATTGGTAATCATTTAGGCTTCTATGTAGGGCTTTGAGGCCTTAGGGTCCTTCGGGCTTTAGGGTTTCAGGGCTTGGGGTTTTTAGGGCTTTAAGGCCTTTGGGTTTTGAGGCTTTAAGGTTTTGAGGGGCTAGGGTTTTGAGGGCTTTACGGTTTTGAGGCCTTAGGATTATGAGGCTTTAGGGCTTTTAGGGCTTAAGTTTTTTGAGGGCTTTAAGGCCTTTGGGTTTTGAGGCTTTAAGGTTTTGAGGGGTTAGGGTTTTTGAGGGCTTTAAGGCCTTGAGGCCTTAGCTTTAGGGTTTTGAGGGCTTAGGGTTTTGAGGGCTTTAAGGCCTTTGGGATTTTAGGGTTGTAGGGTTTAGGAACTCGGGACCCTAAGCACCGAAGCCCCATAAAGAGCACAACCGTGCAGTTGGAAGGTGTCATCAAGATCCTTTGTGGGGTAGGCGGGAGTGGGCCCTTTATTCCCATATCACGGACCTAAGAAGGCCGACTTTGGGGAGTGAAGTCCCCTACTCCCCCCCCTAAGGCTTAATTTAGGGTTTAGGGTTTAGGGTTTAGGGTTTTAATGATGTTGTCAACATGTATCACCTCCAAACCCAAAACCCTCCCATGAGCACTCATCTTCATACCCTCTGCCGAACAAGCCGATATACGGACAGCCCTCACCCAACTCAGTATACTCTTATTCCCTATGCCCCCGAAACCTGAAGCAGATCTCTACCTGTGAAGCCCGAAAGCCTTGAGCCCTCCTTCTCCCAAAACCCTGAGCCCCCCAAACCCTAAACCCTAAACCCCAAACCCCAAGACCCCCAAACCCTAAACCCTACACCCCAAACCCTAAACCCAAAACCCCAAACCCTAGGCCCCAAACCCCAAGCCCGTTTTCCAATCATAAGAGCCGGAAGCCTGCCACGTACCCAGAATGCTCCGAAGGCGCGGGCAAGATCGGAGCTCCTGCTAAGGTTCAGTTTAGGGTTTAGGGTTTAGGGTTTAGGGTTTCGAGTTTAAGGTTTAGGGTTTAGGGCTTAGGGTTTGGGGTTTAGGGTTTCGAGTTTAGGGTTTAGTGTTCATGTTTTAGGGCTTAGAAGCTTCAACACGGGTAGTATAGGGGTGTTTGGGGGGGGATTTAGGGTTTAAGGGGACAAGTGATACAAAACTCAGGGTTGCCAATGTTTGAAGCAGATACCGGGCCTTGATTATGATGAGAAAAGGATTGTGAGGGTATAGCCTACTCAAGCAGATTTTTGGGGAGGGGTATTCTACTAATGCTACAGCTGCTACAGCTGTTTCAGGACTATGTGAAAGGAAATGCTTTTTACAATTATTCAGACTTTGATATTGCTTGGTTTTGGATCCTTCCAACACGGCTTCTCGGGTTAAAGAGTAACCTTGGGGGTCCCTTTTGCCCAAAACCTAGACCCTGAACTCTACACCCTAAACCAGCTGTGCTGGGGTCTCTTGTTTCTGATGCAAGACAACCGGAGGAGGCCTGGCTGGCTCTCTAGCCGTAAATGGTTTTGAGTTTGGTGCATTCTTTCAAAGGATTTTATCCTGAACTCTAAGCCTAAATAAACCCGTACACTTCAAACCATAATCACTACACGGGGTAAGTTTCTTGAGGGTTTGAGGTTCGGGGCATCTTAAGACCCTAAACCCTAATTAAGTTTCTTGAGGGCTGTTGGCGTTGCCGGTCTAGGCCCGGCTTTAGGGTTTAGGGTTTAGCCTGTTGAAATGTTAGTTAAGGTCGAACATAGGCCGTGAAAGCTCCAAGAGCGTTCCCGGGGATGCTGTAGTATTAGCATGTGTTAACTTTTCACAGCCCCATATTGGCCGGTTGCGGCTGTTGTTTGACCTCAAGAAACACATTGCTGTTGCACAGGAAGTATAACCCCACATACGCATTTTGCGCGAAGTTGCTATTACTTCTGTAGCTAAACCCTGAAACCGTACACCCTTGAACCCGAAAAAACCCGAAACCCGAAAGCCTAGACCCTAAAACTCCAAACCCGTGAACCTAAAAGCCCTAAGCCCTAAAACCCTAAACCCTAAACCCTAAACCCTAAACCCTAAACCCTAAACCCTAAACCCTAAGCCCTAAACCCAAAACCCGAAGCCCTTGAACCCTAAGCCTCGACAACTTCGACACCTTTAACCCTTGGCCATGAAGCCTTAGGGTTTAGGGTTTAG